TATATATATATATATATATATATATATATATATATATGTGTATATATATGTGTATATATATATGTGTATATATATGTAGTTAATATATTACTACAGTGTTTCACAGGGACTATCACTCTGTCGTCTCCTGGGCCTATAATGTGTTTTCTTTATTTTAAAACATTTGTAATGTTTTTAACGGTTTTGTTCAACATTAGTATTTTTAGTTTGTGTTGAGCTGCGGCTTCCATTGCAGAATCACACAACGAAAAACAGATGCGCGCATTGAAGTCGTCCCACACCATTAAGAATCCTTAAGAGATTCCTGCAATCCTGTCACTGGTTTTGCTTCCTCGTTGGGGCATCCCGCCTCGATGGCCCGGCTGATCGGAATGTCGCGACTGACTCCCTTCTGGTTCGGCGCCTGCGCGTAGGGCATCTGCTAGCAGAGTTTCGGACCGGTCAGGCACTTCAAGTTCCCCTGCACTCCTGTGTCATTGCTGAAGAGCATTGAGTGTGAGAAGTCTCAATTTTTCTGCAGCTTGTACTGTTGGGACCACTAAAGTCTGAAATGTCTTCTAAGTACTGTAGTCACATTAGCTTTGTCTGGGTCTTTCACTTGGATAACGTGTATCCACTATCCTGTTGTTTACCAAATTGCTGGTTCATTCTCCCACAAAAGACATCACTATCAGTAGCTGACGGTTTCCATGGGTTACGGGAGCTAAACCCACCAGGAGGGGAAAATCAAATATTTGCTCAGAATTTAATCTTTGTGTCTGTCTGTCCTTCTGTATTTTTTTTTTAAGCATTTTATTTCCTCCTCCTGTCATTGAAAGTGCTCTCGTGTGGCGAGATGACGATCGAGAGGACTGTGTTGTTTGGTTTGTTCAAAGTGTAGCAAAATCAGTATCGCCAAATGGAATACGTGAATCGCAGATGTACACACAGTGGTAGCCAAAACACAAGATGAAGACAATAAAGGACATTTCAAACCGAATCCAAGTGTGCACTTCTCTTGACATTACATTGCATTCTCTAAAAGATGAAATATGATGCCTCATTTTAAAATACAGTGTGACTTGCATTTGCTTTTTGGTAAAATTTTTTTTCTTCTATATGTCCAGGCTTTTTTTTTTATTATTATTTTGAACAGCTGTTTGTGCTGTTTTCTCTGTTTAATGACGATATAATGTGGCAAAGGAATGATACCAGGAATGATCAAACATTTCACAGCTGAAAATAATTTATAATAAACAGAAAAAATGTATATTTTTCCTGCATCATTGTTCCCTATTAAGCCAATGACATGCACTACAGAACTAAACCAATTGTTTGAGAATTATGGGATTAATGAGATAACATAATGCTTTATAAATGATTGGGCTTTGAAACGTGATTATATATACTAGGAATTGCATTCTCTACAGGGTCTCATTATTCTTCATGTGCGTGATCAAATGTGCCTCAAAAGATTATGATGTGACCTTTGATACAAAAGCAGCTTAAATGTCTTTCAGATTTAATTTTTTATCTTTCTATTTACGTACTTGCTTACAGTGATTTAACCGAGCCGTCTTCTGGCACGGGAGAAGCCGGGAAGGACAAAGATCATAAAACAGCACATGGTTATCTTTGTCCCCCTTGGATGGTATAAATGTTTTTAGTGTTCTGGGCTGACTGCGTGTGTTCTGCTCGATGTATTAATTTTATCGGGAGAAGCGTGTCGGAACTTGCTGCGAGTAGCGAAAATACTTTCCGTTGTTAAGGTATGGGTTGTATTTTACTCATTTGTGGCTATTTTCGCAGTCAGGCTTTGCTCATGCTCCATTGACAGTCAGATGTGCCGAATAAAAAGCGACACGAAATCGCGTCTTAAACTTTGTGATGTCGGAGAAGCAAACCAAGCACTTGTTAGTTCTGTATTGAGCTGCTCTTTTTGTTTACAGAGTGAAATCAGGAATAACCGTGGTAGGGGAAAGGAATTTGGGAAGGATCCTGTGCTGTTTTTAGGGGGAGGGGAACGACTCTGAGTTTCAGGTGGGAGTCTGGGTGCTTTGTTCCATTAGGGTCATGGGTCGTAAGAAAGCATGCAGTCATCTGACCTCTGTGGAAATGCTGCTCATCTGCCTCTTCGTACTAATGACCGGGGTCTCTGTCAGCCTCATCGTCGTTTTGGCTGTGAAACTGACTTCCGACGCACGTAAGTCTTCCTGATGTTTCCACAGATGCTATGTCAGATTATGCTGCATATAATCAAAAGAAACATTTGAATGTAAAGTTCAAAGTCATATACAGTGGTACCTCAGTTCTGGAACTCATTAGAACTCGTATTTCTTAAAAGTCGAACCATCCAGTTCGAAAAAAAAAAACTCGAACTAGAACTCGATCTGAATCTCAGAAGTCAAACCGTGAACGCCGACCTAAGAGAACTTGTACGTGCGGGGAAATGAATCACGTGACACGTCTGTCAGTGGAAACAAAGGATAAAGCTTCAGTCTCAGCCTGGCATTCGCTGTGATAGCATCATGCATGTTTACACAAGCTGAATACATATATTTAGACAGTAAAAATACATTTAGACAATGATAGACAGTAACAGTAATTATTATTATATACTAAAATACATTTAAAAAGAAAAACTTCGTATTAATTATTTTAATATTAATAATAAACCATTAGTACATTTAATTATAATAATATTGTCGTGCCAAGCAGGGACGGAACGGAGACAAAGGCGCAGACGTCAGGGTACCGGGATATACGGGGTTTAATTACAGGTAAGGCAGGCAAAACGCAGACGGACAATACAATGACCGGACTGGGGAAACAAACTGAAACGCGGACGAAATACAGAGGGCTAATGACAACAACTAGAAACAGCTGATCAAATGGGGATTCCACACAGGGTTAACGAGGGGCATGGGTAATTTCCAGGGGGGTTAGGGGGGTCATGACCCCCCCAATAATCAGATCCAGCCAATATAACCCCCCCAATAATCATGTTTCCCCTGTAATGGGTGGAGACCTCGACCCCCCAATGTTCCAGCCAAAGTTACGCCCTTGACGAGGGGGCGTGGCACACGGAAGGAGCGTACGATTGGGGCAGGACACATTGTTTTTTTTAACTTTACACATTGTTTGGATACATTTATTTTCTTACTTTAATTGCTGTTTTGATAAATGTCCTTAGATGTGTTTAGTACAGTATATGCTCTTCTTGTTTTATCCGGTTCATTTTGTGTTTAAATGCTAAAAAAAAAAAAAAAAACATTTAGGTGTAATTTTTTGGGGCTGGGAACCAGTTAATTGGCTTTCCATTATTTCTTATGGGGGAAATTCGATCAGAACCCGAACTTTTTAGGATTCGATCCGGAGTTCTGAATGGATTAAGTTCGAGTTCTGAGGTACCACTGTATATTACAATATTGTGCTTTTCGAAAGTGGAAATGAGCAATACAGGCTGCAATTTTAAGTTTGCTATGACTGGTTTTATTGGAAAAATAACATGGCTGCCATTCTAAGACCAGCGAGAAGGTTCTCGTCGTGTGACCCACAAGGGAATCTTCTGTTTGGTGTTCAGCTGTGGAAGACTTGAAGCCTATTCCTACGCCCACCTGGACGCCCAGTGAGAATTCCTTTGTCATTGGCGTTGGCCGAGCAGATTGTACGGGACCCGTTGGGGAGGTTCCACTGGTGAGAGACGGTAACCCTGACGTTCTGTCGGCTGGTGATTTTATCGGTGCGGATTTTTTTAAATTGGCAATGAATCGCAGAAAAGTACCTGGAGCCTGTCTCGATGACCGGTTTACAGCACCCTGCATATTATCTGGAGTACTAGGTTAGTTTATGTAATATATGGAGGAGATCAAGTCACCTGTCTGTCATGTGTCTCAGATGGGCTACGCCAATTTGGACCAGACTGCTGGAGGAATCCACACTCGCCTCTTCAGCCGAGCCTTCATTGTGGATGACGGGAGCAGACGGGTGGTGTTTGTGAGCGCGGACATAGGGATGGTCTCCCAGAGGCTGCGGCTGGAGGTACCAAGACAAGCGCGGCCTTTCACCCTAGACTGCAATGGCTGTTGCCTTCTGTAAAGGATTCTTCTTGAAGCCGAATGAACACCTTCATGAGGAATGCATCATAAATGCTTATCAACACGCGTGATATAAACAGCACATAGGTATCTCCAGATGTCAAGGACAGAACAGATCCACCATAAACACTTCAACTGCGTTCGCGTCTGATATATTCTATCAACCGTTCTCTTTCGCTGGCTTAGGTACTGAAGGAGCTCACGGCCAAATATGGTGACCTTTACAGACAGGATAACGTGGTCCTGAGTGGGACTCACACACACTCTGGCCCGGCTGGGTACTTCCAGTACACATTGTTCATGATTACCAGCAAAGGCTACATAAAGCCCTCTATCGAAGCCCTCGTCAACGGCATTGTGAAGGTAGTCAAACCTCCTCAAAATCTGTTCATCTGTCTCTTTTCTGTTAGTGTCCTTTTGAGCAAGAACCTGCTTAAATGAGATTAAGGGAAAGTAATACTAGATAGTAATGGATTCAGGTGGCATCAGTAAAAACTACAAAAAACTGTAGTTTTATAGCTTCGAGTGCTGCCCTGCTGTTGTTCTTCCTATTTGCCAAATGTGTAATTGAGGTCAATGACAAAAGAGGTGCACAGGGATTGGCAGTTTTGATACCGGCTCGATTAAGTTCCTGGTTCCTGCACAGAGCATCGACAGGGCTCACCAAAATATGAAGCCCGGGAGAATCTTCATGAACAAAGGGGAGATCCAAGGGAGCAACTTGAATAGAAGTCCACAGGCATACCTGAACAACCCTGCAGAGGAGCGTGGCAGGTGTGACAGCACGGCCCCTCACATGTCGTGTCAAGGCTATTTTTCACCGTGGTAATTCAATTACACTACATGGGTAAAAGTATTGGGACATTGGGTCATTACGCCCACAGGAACTTTTATGACATCCCATTCTAAATGCACACCAAGACATCTTGGACAATTCTATGCTTTGTGGGAACAGTTTGGGGAACGCCCTTTTCTGTTCCAGCACGTCCAGTGCCTCACCTCACAAAAGCTCTTCTGCATGAATGGGCAAAAATTCCCACATACACATACCAGAACCTTGTGGAAAGCCTCCCCAGAAGAGTCGCAGGTGTTTTAGCTGCAAAGGGGGGACCAGCTCCATATTGACGCCTGTGGGTTTAAAATGTGATGTCATAGAAGTTCCTGTAGGTATAATGGCCAGGTGCCCTAATACTTTTGTCCATATAGTGTATTTACCCCATTATATTTAGGTCAATGGATAGTGCAGTGTTGTACCCTTGAGAGGTAGAATCAAGAATCTAAAATAACAGAATTGCTTGAACGGAGGTCTCCAAGAGATCCTCTCACAACTACTTACTTATAATCAACATCTGGACTTGTGGAGTTGGCGATACACTCACAAATTCACCTGTCCTTCAGGTATAAATCCAACACTGACAGCCAGATTGTTGTTCTGAAGTTTACAGATATGGATGGAGATGGATTGGGAGCTCTCAGGTAGTAAAACAAATCACAGTCTTGTTTGTCTCAGCCTTCTAATGGCTGCCTTTATCAGTAGAAATATGTCAACGCTGCCTGCATTTATTTTCCTTCATTGAGACACTCCCTCCTATCATTTTTTTTGTATTGCTTGATATCACACCAAAAAAATCTGATTGGTTTAATTTCTTTCTGCACCTAGCTGGTTTGCTGTTCATTCTGTCAGTATGAACTTAACCAATCGTATGGTGAGTTCGGACAACCTGGGGTACGCCTCCTACCTGTTTGAGCAAGAGAAAAATCCTAGTTCCCTACCTGGACAGGTGAGTTCTTTTTAATCCAACGTGTTCATGTGACTCATCAATATTGTATCCAAATAAACCCCAGTTCTGTGCATAGTAGCAGAGTCCAAAGAAAACAGTAATGCATCATGGTATTTAGTTTAAAATCCATAAATTTCTGTACTATAAATAACACAACAGCTGATTTATTGTTATATATCTATAATTTCTCATGAAGAAATTAAAAGTTGATTATTGATTTTTCTTGTTTCAATGAAATTAGCTGAAGAATAGCTGTATTGCATGATAGTATCTAGCTGTAGGAACACCAGACTGAATTGTGTTTGTGGTCAGATACTCATTTTTGGCTACTCTGTTTTTTCCAGGGGCCGTTTGTGGCAGCCTTCTCCTCTAGCAATGAGGGAGACGTTACTCCAAATACCAAAGGTCCTTACTGCGTCAACACGGGAGAGTCATGTGACTATCTCAACAGTTCCTGTCCTATTGGTGGAGTATGTGGGGCGTCAATGCCATGTTTCCACAAAAACCTTGGTTTGCTCTATGTGACAAAATAGAAAACAAGTAGTACACTGATTACAGATGATATACAGGGTATTAGTATATACTATAGTGTGTACAGTTTGCAGGGAAGGTCATCAGCTAACACCTCCAGGTCTGTAGGTTTCTCAAAGTTCTTCTAGGCTCAGGTAGGCCTTCTTCAAAAGGTCTTAAGTCTTCATATATAAACGGTGGATAAGCATGTGAATATTTGCAAGTTTAAATGTAGGTGTTTCTGCATGTACTGTGATGCATTGAGATCTTGTCCAGGCTACTTCAGTCCTTTACTCCCTAAGATTCCAGGGATACGTTCCTGATCACAGCTCAGCACCCCTGACAGCTGTTTTAAATTTAAAGATATAGTTATTACGTTATTTCATGAAATCTGCCTCTAGATTTTTCATTCATTGTCATTCAATGTCAAGACCAAGGATCTAATATCAAATTTCACAGACTAAGATGTGCGTCGCTCTGGGACCAGGAACAGACATGTTTGAAAGCACAAGGATTATTGGAGAAAGCATGTATAATAAGGCAAAGGTAGGTAGTATTATCCCAGAAGGGGATGGATCACAGACTTGATGATATAGAATTAATAGGTGATCCCTAGCTGGCATGCTGGCAATGTAGCTGTGATGATTGGTCGACTATAGTGAGCTCATTTGCATATTTATGAACAATCCCCTTCAACATTTCCTTCAGGAACTGTACAGTAACATGCATCAGGAATTGCATGGGGCTGTCCACGGGGCGCACCAGTGGGTTAATATGTCAGATGTTACGGTTCAGATCAACACCACACACACGGTGAGTCCTGAACCCAAAGGTGTTTCTCAATGCTGAGAATGCAAAGATCTTACTTGATTGTGTTCTTGTCACGAGCGGTCTTGCTAACTTGCCTCCCAAGAATGAATTTGGAACATAATGAATCATGGGATTATTATTCTGGCTTGGCGAGGATGCAACTGAAGCAACTTTGATATTTGGGGCGGGGCAAGAATGACATCTGGGGACTTTTAGCATCCTCTGTACTTCTCTTCTTGATTTTGGAAATATACTTCAGCGACTGAAGATGATGTACAACTGGTATGCAAGAACGCAAAAACGGTCAAATTTGCATTTTGAGAAATCAAATTACCGAAGCCTTATAGAACTCTTGACCAGAAGTTAGTTGTGAGCAGATTACCTATATCACAGTGAGTTAGCATTCAGCTGAAAAAAGTAGTGCATTTGTAGATGTGTTGGAATATACATATCTTTGAAAGAATGTCTGCTAACTTATTAATAACAATGTTATTGGACTATTGACCTTCCTGTAGTAGGCAGGACATTATCCAATACACTATTGTTGCTATTGTACAGCCTTTCCTATACTTTGCTGTTGAGTTCCGGACTAAGTTCGAACATCAGTTGAGTGTTCCAGGTGTTCCTGTTTCTTTTATTTGAATGGAATGTTTTTGTTTTTCAAAAACATAAAAATCACTTCTTTTTGGTGGGAAAAGAGTAACATTTAGGTAATTAAAAGGAAGGCCTTGGCATTCTTGTAGACTCGCATCTGTTTCTTGTCTCTAGCAGAGGCGGACATTTCAGGTCCAGAAAGTAAAAATCCAGACCCAGATTTTGTTTCAACCAACCAATTGAGTACTCTGTGACAGTGACTGTTTTTACCCAATTGGGTGGTTGAAATAAAATCCTGGTCTGGATTTTTACTTTCTGGACCTGAAATGTCCGCCTCTGGTCTCCAGCGCATTAGCATTCTGTCATGCTGCGTGATGTTTCTCCTCAGGGAAAAACCTGCAAACCTGCTCTGGGCTACAGCTTCGCAGGTGGGACTATTGACGGAGGTGGTGACCTCAATTTCACGCAGGGTAAGCAGTCCCGAAACCCGCTGCGGGGGCGGTGCAGGTCGGCTCGCGAATCCAGAAAATCGCCGTGTGCGAGTTTGCGTGTCTCGTTAAGGGATGGTGGAGGGGGATCCGTTCTGGGACGGCATCCGAGACGCACTGCTGGGAGTGCCGTCGAATGAGACCCGTAAATGCCACAGTCCCAAACCCATCCTCTTCAACACTGGAGAGGTAAGGTCCCGCCGGTATGCCCATGTGTGATGAGCTCGCTTGCTTTCTCCTGTCCTATTAGAGCACGAATCACATTATGAAGCATTCCCTCAGAAAATTTAGTCTACCTCGTGGGTGCAGCCTATGATCTACCAGCTTATGCAGACCTACACGGAGGACTGGCTCTCTGACGGTCTCTGATTATCACCACAATTTACACCTTGCTTTTGTTAAAGCTGGTTTTCCTTGTTTTGTATAATGTTAGCATGTCTGGTGGGGTTGGGCTGCCAGTTGACCTTAGAAACCCCCCATAGGTTATTTTTTCTCCATACTCTGGAAGTTTTGGTTCCTCTCCTCCATTGTCTTTTGACATTGTTTTTTTTCCCTTTTCCCTGTTATACACCATTTTGAACGCATGATGTAGTAATGGATTACCACACCATCTTGTCAAGTGTTTTGGGGTGACTGCATTGTGAAAGATGCTATATGAAATTGAATTTAATTGAATCGAGCAACTTTGCCATTTACTATGATGATAAAAGTGGCTCCATGACCTGTATCCAGATGAAGAAGCCTCTCCCATGGCATCCCGATATCGTGGACGTCCAGATCATCACCATCGGCTCCCTTGCTATCGTGGCCGTACCTGGAGAAATGACGTGAGCTTCGCCAAGACTGCAGACAGTTTCATGCTGTTGAATGGAGGCTTGAGTTCAGTTTTTATGAATTTTCATGGATAGTCGGTCCAAAGCAGTCCTAATGTTTTATCACCACATCATAAATAATGATGTATAACAAATTGAAGTTTGTTTTTCAGATTGTCTAGCTAGATAAACAATCTTATTATGACAAAAATAGATTGATGTGCTTCTAGGACAATGTCAGGAAGAAGGATCAGGGAGGCAGTGAAGCAGGTGAGGATTATCAACACCACCAGAACTCGGCATCTTATTAGGCTTTTTCTGAAAGGTTGAGATAGACTTCTACTTGGTCTCCTACATCCATAAAGCTGAGCGATGTGCGATCTGCCTAGGAAATGGAGAAGAGCTCCACTTTTGCCAATGCGGAGGTTGTGATCGCTGGACTGTCGAATGTCTATACGCACTATATCACCACCTACGAGGAATATCAGGTACGACCGCCATCTCGATGGCTCCATAAACTGTTGACTCGAGCAAAAAAAAAATAATACGGTTTATGGTAGAGTGTGCGTGTTGTACATTCAGATATTGCAGATACTATGCTTCTTTCGAGATTAGATGCAAAGCACTTTATGTTTTGTTTGTGGCAGATCCAGCGATACGAGGGGGCGTCCACCATTTATGGCCCTCATACTCTCTCAGCTTATATTCAGTGTTACAGAGGTCTGGCCAAGGCCATCGCTGAGGTAGGACTTGGCGGAAAGCCCAGATGCCACACCACCCAGCTCACTCCTCTCTCAGTAGACCGATCAGCAAGCCTGTTGCATTCACATCACGATGTAATGTGTGATGATCACCAGGTCTTTAGATGACAGGTGAAACATTTGTCTGGATGCCGGCTTTCCAGTACTATGTACACGTGTATTGCCCTATATACTGTATATACATTTACTGTTCTATATGTACATTTACTGTTCTATATGTACATTTACTGTACTATATGTACATTTACTGATCACAATTTCGTAAGCAGATTAGTTGTGTGTCTAAAATATTAATGAGATCCATATTATGATGCCCAAAAGTTAGAAATTTGTATAAAGTAAATGTCCGTATGGTACTGGAAAGCCAGTGTCCAGACAAATGTTTCATCTGTCATCTAAAGCCCTGGTGATTATTGCACATGTGCCATTTAATTTGCGCATGTAAATTAAATAACAGATAACTGATAAACCAAATTCGAAGAGGGAATTTCCAAAACACTCTCCGCCCATTTTTGTTGTCTTTAAGGTGAGTCTGCCAGTGGCTGCCAACGTCCAGCTCCCTCGTCATACAGTATAGTACTGGGAACCAAAGCTCACTCAGTCCTCGTGTAATTCAGGGGAGAACTTTTGTTAAAGTACCAAAACAGGTCCACAGAAATTTCATTGAAGGCGTGTGCCCTGGACCGAGTGAGTTTTGAGTAAAAATGGTGCGTGTGAAGGTCTGGGATATATTAGACATTAATTTAACATTCGACACATGTTGAATGCAGAAGATATAGGCGGGGATAAAGATGTGAGCGACTTTGACAAGGGCCAGACTGGGTTAGAGCATCTCTGAGGCTTGTGAGGTGCCCCTGTCCAGCTACAGCAAGTAAAAAACTACAAACTGCCAACAGGTATGTATGGTGGGACAAATGGCAGATAATTTTGATGGTGATCACCGGAATAATGCGTCACATCATTCAGCACATGGAGCCCGGCTGCGTTTGTGTATGTAGCCGTGGATCGTACTTGTTGGTCCAACACATCCCACATATGCTTGACACATTCCTGCCCATCAATATGATGCAACAGAACATGGGATTCATTTGTCCGGGCGACCTTCTTTCATTGCTCCAAGGTCTAGTTCTGACGCTCATGTGCCCATTGTGGGTGCTGTGGACAGTGGACAGGGGTCAGTATGGGCAATCCGACTGCCCTGCAGCTACTTAGCGTCCACAAGACACAGTGTACCATGTGCCGTGACTCATTACTCCCATAATTATCATCAAAATCTTCTGCCGTCTCCCACACCTTGACACGTGCCTTTTTACGTGGGAGTGGTTATAATGTTTTGGCTCATCGATGTATACTGTCGTACTATATATTGGCATCCGGAGTTAGAATAAGAACTTACCTTAGAAATGGTTGTGGTTTTTTGGTAGGGTAAGGTTGGTGAGCTTCCCAGAGGTCCTGAGCCCCCGTTCTTTGCAGAGAACCAGCTCATCTCCTTGTTACCTGCTATCATGCCGGACAAAGCACCCCCCAACTCCACGTTCGGGGATGTCTTGGAGCAGGTTATGCAGAACTACAGACGGGTAATCAGGAGCGTAGCTAGAATTTCTGGGCCCCCAAAAAATGTCACCTTGAGCCCACCTGTGCAATGTAATGTATAATTTACATATTCAAGGGCCATTATAAATGCTGGGCCCCTTGAATCTGCCAGGATATCCATGACCCTACTGCACCGCTGACTGTGATACAAGGGCTTGGACTTATTCTTCTGATGTCCTTCTCGATGCACCTTTGGGTCGACCATCTCTTGCGATTTTCCCACCCTTCCAGGGGGAGGTTGCGTCTGTGACGTTTGTCAGCGGAAATCCCCGGAACTCAGGAGACATGGTGAGGAACTGCAGCCTCGGTCTGGCTTTTCGCCTTTTCAGGATTCAACAGCCCACCCGCATGTCCCATGGTGTCATTTCAGAGGGAGAAGACGTTCGTCACTGTGGAGAAGTATGACAACAAAACACAGATGTGGGAAATAGTCCAAACAGATGCCTCGTGGGAGACAAGGTACAGTAGAGATTTCATGTCGCAGTTTCGTAGATGCCTCCAGATAACCATGCAGGAATAACGTAACTGCAATACTATTTATATAATTTTCTCTTAACAAAGGTTTCCGTTCCCAGGTAGTGTTTATACAGCCAAATTTACTTATCTGATGCCTTTTTGTCCAGCTGTTATCTTCCTAAGTCCTTTTAACGATAAAAATACTGCTGAGTCAAGCTGAGTCAAGTCCAGTCATTGTGGTTTTGCAGTTAAACCCTTAAGATGAAGTCTGCACTTGCATATATGGACTTACATATATCGCAGTTAGATAGAGATGCCAGGGAATGGAAGATGTTTGCACTTTTGTCCAAAGGCTTCGGCTAATCTGTTCATCAGTCGGAGCGTGTTGTAGAAGCTTTCTGGCCCTTATTCCCCACAGTTGTAAAAGCTAGAGGAGAGATGAGGAAGTGGGATGTTTCTGAGGTTCGATTGTGGTTTTGAGTTATAGCCTCATCTGCTTGTGGGTTGGGTGAGGGGGGTTAATGGGCTGATGCCTTAGTGGTAATGTTCCAGTTCTGAAGTTGTGCACTGAAATTGTCCGGCGTGACGGGGCTCTCTGCATTAGTGGGCAGGAAGCTGCACCACCTATAAGATGACAGTAATGAGGTCACCCGCCCTTTGATCAGGGTTGGTGTTAACACAGTCGTCGGCTTTGGGGGTCGCGGTGGAGGGGAGGGGTGGTCAATGGACGCCGCTGCCACGTTCGATTGCGCTGTGACGGATCCGCATAAAGTGTGTCCTCCCCATGCAGGTTTCACTGGGTGAAGGGCAAAAATCAGCTGAGCAACGCCACCGTGGAGTGGCATATTCCCCCTGCCGCTCTGCCCGGATCCTACCGAATCCGCCATTTCGGCCATTTTAAGAAGATGGTAGCCCTGAAACCTGTTGTAACCCCCTATGAGGGAACATCAGATATGTTCGAGGTCTCCTAGAAGAAGTCGTCTTGAAAGCACTCTTTAGGTAAAAACATGTACATTAGTTACGTCGTTTTTCATCTTGTAATTCTGATTAAAAATAACGGAATGTGAAATATACCCCCAGTCCATTTTCTGTTTGCTTGCTAGACACACTCGGTATGGTGAGGGGAACAAACAGAAGTTACACTAGAGCTTAAGATATTCAATATTCCATTCATCATTCAAGCAGCTGGGGTAGGCGATCCGGATCCTGGAGTGCTGGTACCCAGCAGGTTTTCCATCCTACCGGGTCTCTGATGAAACACACCTCATCTCAGGCAGATAGTAACCCATTAGGTATCACAGCCTATGACTGGGCAATACCTAGTTTGTTATATAATATTCATATTATCTATCGATACGTCTTCCAAGGACTTATCTGGTATAGGGTCACAATAAGTCATACAGTTGAAGAAATACATAAAAACCTTGAGTGTAATTATTAATGAACTTCTGTCTATTTTTTGCATTTATGACAAGCGCCTCATTAAAATAAACTGAGAATCGACGCACACATTTGCATAGTAATACATTTATTGACTTTCCAGAAAGCAATTACCTGACACGCAGCAATTTCCCATGCGGAGCCATACCATTTGCAGCACAGTGATGTCACTTTTTGTTAATCCAGTTTTGATTAATTCAATCTCTTTAATGGCTGTGAATTTTCTCATTTTTGAATAATGATTGAGTCATTGAGTTTCAAATATCCAAAACAACAGAACGCTATACAAATAGTGTTGTATTTCTGGTAAAAAAAAAATAAAGTTCTAAGTGCTACACACACTTTAATACTGTCAGAAACAGCCCAGGCTTTTTATAGTTCAGTGTTACAGAGAAAACCTCTGTACCTCTGTATTAATTTTGTGTTTAACTGTGCGTGTTTAGGACTGGAACTCTGAGTACTTCTTTAAAAGATGACATCTGAGCTAATAAATATCACACTAGTCACATCACACTAGTTCACATCAGGAGGTCTTTGTTTTTCTCAGAAATGATGGATACGTCCAGCTGCCTACTGACAGCTTGACATTTTCCTAACACCTCAAAGACCAGCCTTCCAACGCACAGCAAAACTTCACAGCTTATTGCATGGTTCCTTATATCTCTGCACTGGGATACCAGCCAAAGGAAAACACATTTCTGTGTGTCCACAAATACTGAGAAATAGCACAAGCACAGAAAAAAATCTCATTGGTTGAGGGGATGCACCTCATTCAGGTTCCGAGAGTCCCTATAAATGAACAGGTTACAAATTCTAAAATCCAAATGATAAACCTGCTTCTCTGTTTCCTTCAAGGAATGCACACTCGTGTTTACAGGGAGATACTTCTCATATAATTGCTACTGTAGTTAAGACTACTGCTAGTTCTGTAATTTAAGCAATTTAAATAGGGGTTCAGGGGGTTACTGTCTAGGACAAGGGTAAAACAAGATATAACAAAATTAAAATAAAGAAAAAAAAATAGAGGTTAAGGGATGTTTTTCTTTTGTAAACATCTTTTGCAAGCAACTCCATTCCTGAGAGACATCAAAGATTGACGAGGCTCTCCAGTAAAAGAGATTAAACGCATATTTCAGATGATTAGCTATCGCTTAACGAAGAATATCAATAGTACAGAACTAAACAACTTCTACGTTCTAGTCTAAATATATCACAGATAAAACCAAGAATGTGTGGGAATGTGGACTCGTCTTCAGAAAACCCCATAGCCATCGCCGCGTGTGCTTATGGCGAATGCTGGGTAGCCTTCATAGGTCGCATACGCAGTCAGATCCTGCCCAAGGGTGACGGCTTGCTTGAGTTGCGAGGCAGCCACTGAGGCGGTGGTGCCAGCTATTGTGTAGCCTGCAGAGGAATATGGAGAGCATGCGTAAGAATGGCCAAGCCATTGTGACATCACTGAGTTTCTTTATGAATGGAAATAACAATAATGGCCAAGCCATTGTGACATCACTGCGTTTCTTTATGAATGGAAACAACAATAATGGCCAAGCCATTGTGACATCACTGCGTTTCTTTATGAATGGGAACAACAGTAATAATAATAACAATACACACTAGTGAAAACAATTTTGAGGGTCAAATGGTACCAAGCCATGAAGGATTTGGTCATTTTTTTAAGCTATCAGTTAAAAAAAATATATATGTATTTGCAGAACAAAATCATTACGATAATTCATTATTGTTTGCCTAGCGGCACCTGACTTAATGCTCACCACAGTAAGCATAATTCCTAGAATTCCTTGAGTGTCTCCATACTATGAAGTGATGGTATACAAAGCATCTAGAATTGATGTCATGGTGCAGTATTTTCAGCTTGATACTGCATATTTGTGAAGCTGCCCCAAACCTTTGGTGTATAGCCTCAGAAATGTTGGTCAGTTTCAGAAGAGCAGCTGCCACATCCTAAATGAAGTATTCATGCCTAAGAAATAAGAATCTTCTCAAATGAGCAGGACTGAGGTGAGTCATTTACCCAAAGGGCGAGTACAACAAACTGGCTAGTAAAAAAATGTATTTTTTAAATCGCATGTTGGTCTGTATGTTTTTTTTTTTTACTGAACTAGCCTAGCTGGCTCATAGCAAAAAAAATTTAAGTTCCACCTCTGCAAATGAGCCATTGCATAATTTGAGATTTTAATTTCGCTGATCTCAGGGGCAGTGGACAGTGTCCAGGTGGATTCTGGGCTCCTACATGTGCAGGGGCACCGTAAAGGGGAGGACGTTTGGATGATTCCAGTGACGGGGGGCCCTAAGAATTAGGAACGTCATCAGGAAGTAGGAGAAAAAGGCAGCCATACGGACCTTCACATACCTGGGAATGCGGCAGCCGCGACGGCAATGGAGGCATCCGGGCTCTCGGCCTGCAGTCCCAGGATCTGCATAGCGTTCTCTGCAGCGTAGACCTTGGCCTCGTCCACAGCCTCGCACAGCTTAGCTGGTGTAAACGGATGGCTAAGGGACGCCAGAGGAACGCATGCATGGTGAGTGTGAATGACGTGTTTAAAACAAGCCTAGATTAATGTTTACCAAACGTGACACCCCCACCCCCCCCACACACACACACTTTACATCTTTTTGAGTTATGTGTCATATCTACTTGGAAAACAGACCTCACATCCCACTGATCGAGCCTGGCAGACTTGAGTACGTTACCTACAGTTACATCCAGACAAACACTGCATCACTTTGACTGGGCTGTCAAAGCTTAAACTCTTCCGACAGGCACAAAGAAAGACAGGCAAAGCTAATTTGTACTTCAAGCCCTTGCTGGTTGCCGGTGAGATGATGCTACTGCATGTTGGCTACTTGCAGAAAGTTCAGCTGAGGCTCTCCACGTTGTTCTGCCCCTTTCCTGATGCACCAATAATGTATTGCATGTTTATTGTTTAACTTCCAATATTTCTAAGTCTTTTCTCTTGTCTCTTATATACTCCTGTTGTCCCCTCATGCACCTGTCCCCTCTCCTGTTACTGTAGCAAACGAATTTCGCACTGTTCCTCGGAACACACGCGACAATAAAAAATATTTAAACTTAAGACCTGTTTCTGCTGTGGTAAAATGCAAAATCACTACAGAAGATGACGACGTATCAAACTCAGGGAGCTACATACAAACATCAGCAGAACCTAATCAGTTTCTTTCATAATCCACCCATAAATATTTTCTGTAGCTTCTGATCATGTGCAGGGTTAGGGTTAAGCTTAGGTTTAGGGTTAGGCTGATCCGGGGGCTTCTTCCGGGAAACACGGGGCCTGAAGCAGGGGTCTCCCAGAACATGTGGTTTCATAATGCACATGATCATTTCGGGGCCTGCTGGGGACGAAGGCGCGGGTCTTGTTTTTTTAACATCATCTTGGCCGCGTCGCATGTCGGCACATGGTTCTAGCAGACAAACACCAGGCGCTCGATGGAAACGAATTCTGGCCAGAACACGGCCGGTTCCGCTGCCAGCGGAGGCTTCCCGGCTGCCTCAGATTCCCACCTCCTACTCCTCACTGACAGAAATACTTCATGGGCTTGAGAATTAATCCAGAATAAATCCACACGTACACAAGGGTAAGATCTGACTGCCTCCTATAATCGATTATAAATACGAGCGCCTTCTTGGTAGCTTTGAGTAAGAGAATCCACTTGATGAAGAACGGTGTCAGCTGAGAAATCCCGCCTTTGATGGAGAGGCAAACAGAGCTTGCGACACTGAGCATTCAAGCTTACATGTTGGGGTACTGTGTAGCCAGCGCCGGAATGGTGACCTTGTACAGGAACAACTGCCTCTGGTCCGGCCCGATAGCTGAGTGGAGCTGGTAACCGGGTTGTCCCCAGTTATTTTTTTGGCATATATCTTCCAGGATCTGCAAAAAGTTACGTTTAACATTGTGACACGCCTTTACGGTCTCTCGGCCCGAAGGACAAAGCAGTGAAGTGCATATCTGAGTGTGAATGACTCACCCTTGTCCCTAATATTAACATAGGAGCTTGCCGCATATTCACTTGCTCTACTCATAGCTGTATGCCTTCTAGCCGTAACACTAATACCCATGTTGACTGTATGACAATGCTGTTATCACATTCATCTCACTACCACAGTGATTTCCTATGTAATCCATTATCGTGAGACACTGTTGATCATGATTATTATCTGGCAGTAATGCTACAACTCTCAATCGCTGCCTTTCTCACGTGCGATAATCATCTCATGCGCAATATTCCTCATTCTTTTATGCTGTGTGTTTGTATTTGTCCATTGCTAAATGCTATTTATTTGTTTTTCTTAAAATGTTCTTTTAGCCTGTATAGTTTTTATTGAGGCTTCTACAGGATGACCCACACGTCATCTTGTTGTACTTGTACAGTGACAATAAAGATGTCTTGATCTCTTGATCTGTTCTGAATAGGAAGGTATTCATACAGCTCACTTCCTGTCTATAGCATACAAAGGTGTCCTAAGTGTGTGTGTGTGTGTGTTGGCGTGTGTTTCTGCTTTTTCCTGCCAGGGTTCCAGGCCCATAACCACATCCAGGTTATTACCTGGGGGGCGTGTTTGATGCCCTGGGGTTTCAGGGTCACGGGGTTCATGGGGGTGAGCTCCATGCCAGGCAGGAGGTCATACAGCTTGTCGTCGGGGCGTTTGTCCGCCTTTAGCGGGTAGGCGGCACAGCCACGGCCCACCCCCGCATAGGCTAGGTATCCCCGTCCACCCAGGCCCCGCACTCCAGCGGCCCCTACAGGTACATTCATGTAAATGTCTAGGAATGCAAGAAGGCAGTAAATCAAATCAAATCACCGGAAATCAAGGCTTCAATCACCTTCACATATTCCAGTCCTGCACAGTCCAGGCATTTCCAACTGGATATTACCGAACAATCAAGGGTAGCTTTGAGCCAGAGGATAGATCACTGTGATTGGTGTCTTCAAATTGAAGTCATGATTACGCTGATTTGTTTTGGCCCCAAAAACGTTTTCAATTTGATTCCCCATTTTGGTGTACTATGCAGGTGTGGAAGTCACCATAAGATACAAAGCACCCTCATCTAAACTAAACTACATATCACTGTGTCTTTTTCAATCTAATTAATAATAAAAAAATGCAAAAGTGATTCAAGGCTGCATAAGATCTAATTGCTAACCGTGATGACATCTCATTAAGTAGATGCCAAGGTAGGAACGGGTCTCATCGCTGAAGTACAGTGTAAACATGACATTTACATCAGCGGCATCAGCCTTGTATTCTAATTAGGGCAACAAATTACATGTTGAGCACCTCAGAACATTCATATTTTTAAAAAATAGTTTCGGAGTTGGGATGCAGGGTTATGATGGATGTCAGACACTCTGAAAGACGTATTTTAATTCTGCAGTGAGCAGATGGAGGTACGGAGGTAAATAGTGCCGGGAACCTAAATGTGTGCTATTAAGGCAAAACGTGGGGTGTAACATCAAATAAAAGCTACGCCCCGACATCTGAAAATGTTTACGAGTCAGATAGTTATACATGCAGGATGGTGTTCCACGAAGCAGGATTTCTCAGCTGGGTTAACTTAAGCTAGAAGACATGATTGTCCAATAGGAATGCTCCCTACCTAAACTCTTATTGGGCAATCATTACTTCCAGCTTAAGTTAACCCAGATAACTGAGAAATCCTGCTTTGTGGAAGAACCCCCTGGTTTGCTAAGCATTGAATGTGAGAGTGTATTTTAATATAGAGGGAGGACGGGTCCAATACACAGAAGGTGAATCATGATTAATTCATCAGAGTGGGGTCTGGACAGTGTCCAAGCGGATTCAAGGTTCCTACATGTGTAGGGCTACCCTGGGGGGAGGATTAAGATCATTCTGAGGGTCCATGTGCTGCTTGAAGGGATTAAACACCGTGTGGTGAAGGCCAACTGCAACCTGGCAGCTGCCTGGAATTGGTGAGCAGCGCCACCTGCTGGTAAGCCATGTGACTAGGTGCCGGCGGGACGGGGTACCCACCTCTGACGGAGGGGCCGCGTACCAGGCTCCGACCGCCAATGTGGCCTTTGGTGCTCGGGAAGCGGAACTGGTTAGGGATAGCGGCATATGCCGGCGGGGCGTAGAAGACAGGCGCTCCCAGGTAGGCGGCAGTGGGATCGTACACCTGCCCCAGCGTGTAGGAATACTCTCCTTGCAGCAGGGCGGCGACGCGTCCTCCTGTCCCTCGGGTGTAACGCACATAGCTGTCCTTATCAACGGGCTTAGCCAAGGTCACCTCGATAGGGGAGCCGTCTAGCACCTTTAGAAAATGGCATCCGAATAAACACAATGAAACTTTCATGTGTCTGATGTCAGATGTTACTTACTTCAAGATCGAGGAAGAGCTGCTTGGCCAGGGTCATTACCAGGCTGCACCAGGCACTGCCAAAACCTGACCATTCCGCTATGTTTCCGTTATGTTTCATGTTTACTGCTGCTGTGTACCATTTTATAACTAAAGGCACACATCATTTATACCACATGTATATATGTATAATCAGAGTTGGGTAATTCAGGACCAGAGAGTAAAAGTCCAGACTGGGATTTTGTTTCAAACAACCAGTTGAACATAAAGAGTCATAGTTTGGACTTTTACTCTCTGGACCTGAGTTACCCAACTCTGCGTATAGTATACATTTATGTTGCATAGTCATTTTACTTAATACAATATATAACTTTATTTTCTGTCTATCACTTCTGGTATCAATTCCAGTTCCTTGCATTTTATCATACCTGAAGCTCCTATTCTATTCTATTCTATTCTATTACTTAGGGAACTAATATATAGTAGATCAATAGATTAACTTGGTGAAGGTTTATAAAAAAAAAAAATAGAATCACTGTTATATAAATGAACTGTGATTGTGGTTACCTTTCCATTCAAAGCATTCATGGCGTTTACTGCATCCTCTCTCTGGGTGAAATGGACAAAAGCATAGTCCCTAATTTTCTTCACTCTCTCCACAGCCCCTGCAAGCAAAGTGGCCTTTCATACCCTTGACACGTTTAAGTGGAAAGGACAGCAGAGCATTATGGGATTGGAGGAAATTTGTCCTCAAATACTTCTTGCCATGCAAATTGTAAATATCGTTTTTTTTCCTAAAATTCTCATTACCTCAACTGTAGACTTTACAATTTGCAGCCAGTATAATTCAGAAAAAGGTTTACTTTAATTCTGATTTGCTTTTATAATAATAATATGATTGTTGTAAATATATAACCTAAAACCCATCCATGTAATATATGCGCACAAGCTATTCAAACCCTGCTGACCTGGCTTAATGCTGTTAAACTCTTTCTCAATGGTTTCCTCTGTGGTGGCCAACATCAGGTTCCTCACATAGAGGATCTTCACTGTGGCCATGGTGTCCTCGTCTACCTCCACCTCTGGCTCCGCCCAGTCCACCGCGATGGTGTGCCCCCAAAGCTGGATCCGCCCTGCGCCATGGAAGCATGTCATCGGCACCAGACAGTCAGAATGGAAAGCTGTGATTCAGCCATGGAGAAATGCAGTGATGAATCATGTCTGCCGCAGGACAAGGTCCGTCTCACAGCTCATCTAACGACAACGCATGAGATCTTCGGCTAGATCGCCCGAGTCTTTTAAGAAAGCTGCTACTTTAAGAATATATGAGCTAAATCTATGTTTTATCCAAGCTTGTGCAAGTCGAACAGATGACATCATCTCTCAGACATTTGTTGATATTTCCTGTTCATGCTGGCATGGAACGTGGAACGCCTGTAAATAAGGGCAGGCATGTGGATGGGAGGGGCATAAAGTCATGCCCACTGAAACTCAGATATATCCAGAAGTGGGTAGTTCAGATCCGGAAAGGTAAAATCCAGACCAAGATTTAGTTTCAACCAGCCAGTAGAGTATTCTGTGACTGTGACGCTTTATACTCAACTGGTTGGTTGAAGCAAAATCTTGGTCTGGACTTTTACACTCTGGACCTGAATTACCCATTTTTATAACTTTTTGTTTAAAATTTAAAAAATATGGATATAATCTGGGCTTATTCATCAAGTTTTAGGGGTTTGCATTAAATTATTTGTAGGCAATTTTACTGTGATTGTTTATCACTGAATTCTTCATTATGATCCAAAAAGGTGCCCCCCCTCAGTTCCACGGGCCATGCCCGCTGGTTGCCATGGGCTCCGCCCCGTCCGCGGGTATTACCTGGCAACAGCTTGCGCCTCGCCATGGCCGCCGCCCGGTGACTCTCATACTCCACGAAAGCGAAGCCCCTATTCTTGGACTTGTCTGCGGCGCTGGGGTACACAATGACGTCCACTACGCCGTCCGTCACTTTCCGCATCTCTGCTAGGATCTCCTCCCTCTTTTTGGTTTTTGGGATCCCCCCGACGAAGAGGCGGCAGTTATCCACGCTGGCACAGACACCGAGAAGCCTTCCATTCCTGTAGAGCATCATGGAAAGAGCTCAAGATACTACATCCATCCATCCATCCATCCATCCAGCCATCCATTAATCCATCCACCTCTCCATCCATTACTGCATCCATTCCTGCATCCATTCATGAATCCATCCATCCTTTCATTAATCCATCTACCCATCCATTAATCCATCTACCCATCCATTAATCCATCACATATTCCTCCATCCAGCCATCCATTAATTTATCCATCCACCTCTCCATCCAATAATGCATCCATTCATTCATCCATTCATTAATCCATCCACCAATCCCTCTTCCAACCACAAAATCATGCGCATGAAAAGTGATGAACATGATGCAAGTGTCCTTCACTCCAGAGCGACGTCTGGCAGATCAGTCACAGAATTTTATTTGTCTATTTACAACATCCATCCTTCTGTACCTGCCTTTCCACTAAAGGGTTATGGTGAGTGTGCACCCCATCCCAGGCAGTACAAGGCCTGAGAACTCCTTACGCAATGTCAGTACATTTATTACCTTCTCATTAATTTTTTATTACATTTGCTTTAAGTTCATATATAGAAGCCTCAATATCTATCTCCGTCTACTGCACTGAAAGCCCACATTAATGTGTAGTGTGAGGAGCTGTATGCTCATTCTGCTGAAAGGGCCTCACCTTATTTCATAGTTATTAAGCTGTTTCATAGCGTTCTTGGCCTCTTGCTTGGTGCTGAAGGTCACAAATGCGTAGCCCCGGTTATTCCCGTTGAAATCCATCATCATCCGCACCTCGTAGATTTTCCCGAACTGTTAAACAAGCCGTCTGTCAGACACTAGGTGGCGCTTGGGCAAGTATGGCACACGTTTTGGCCTTCTGGTCTTTGAGGTGCCTCGTCACCACTCTGGGCTTACGGCAGCAAGTGGCCCGTACCTTCTCACAGAGGGGCACCAGCTCATCCTCAAAGAGGTCTCGGGGTAGCTTCCCCACGAAGATCTCGCTGCCCTTCTCAGGGGGAGGGCCTTCCCATCCTGTGGGTGGGCCACCGTACCGCCTCTGCCCATTCTCCTGTGAACATAATGAGGAACTTCATCATGGGGAAGGATGCCCCATCAAGGCTGCTCAGCATCTATGTAAGACAGTGTTTCCCAATCCGGTCCTTGGGGACCCGCACACAGTCCGTGATTTTGCTCCCCCCCAGCTCCCGGCAGAAATGTAAACTATCTGGACTGCCTGGGAAGGAGCAAAAACATGGACCGCTGTGGATATCTGAGGACTGGGTGGGGAATCACTGCCATAACTAAACCCAGTTATCGTTTATTTATTAAAGCTAGCTGTCAAATCTGCACACAATGCCCCCAGAAGGACCTTGGTAGTTAGAGGCCACTGATTTATACCAAAGGCTAAAAATATATCTGAAATGTGTCCTTGAACCAGAGACACCACTAGAGATTTTGGGCCCCTATGCCAGACCAATCCAATTATGTCACTCAGGGCCCCTTGGAATCCTCCTAAGTGCCCCCCTAGCCCCCATCCCCCTTATGTTGCCCTTGCCATGAACATTCCTAATTTAAGCATCTGGATCAAGCATAACAATTACAGAAGTGACCGGTTTTGCTGGACATTAGCATACAACGCTCATTTAAAACTAATTTAAAAGTGTGTAAATTCTTTGTTTCACGGCAGCGTGTGACGTTTACTTTGCCGCTTTGCCAGATAAACTGCCTCTATAGGTGGCAGAATGCGTCGTACCCTTGAGCTGGGTTGCCCATAGTAACGTTGTCCATAAGCACCGAGCCATTACAAACACCACAGCGAGGAACACGGACTCGCTGAATGTGCTTGTGGTTGATTGTTAGACTCAACCTGTTGCTTGCTAGTACTTTTCCACAGAGATCCTGGGGCAGCTACAAGGGTCTCATTATTTGTCCTGCACTCACGGAGTATATTACAGCAAGAGCATGACACATTAAACCACAGTAGCTTAAAAAAACCAACGTCAATAAAGCCATTGGGGAAAAAACAAAATGCAGGTTTCTCTGTTGCTTTAAGACGCTCATTGTCACTTCTCCACATACAGACAACGCCTGTTCTTTAATTTTGTTAACTGAAACGAGCTGAAACACTCAGCCACATACCACGGTAATGTGTCAACGTGTAAAACGACTTAAATGAGCATAGATCCATCAGTGTGACTTGAGAAGTTGATTGCTGATTCCTCTAAGTACATGCACTGAAAGGTGTGGAGAAAAATATTCTGTCTTGTTCCATTTCCTAGATGTATATCCATAAATATTAATGCACTGCAATACATTTGCTAACAATTTAACTCAATTTAGATACATTTTCTTCGAAATGATAGCTTTAAATTTCTGTATTAGTAAGGATTCAAACCGAATTACGTCGGATAATAACTAATATTAATACACTTTCCTGTCACTAGATGGCAGTGCAAACCCTGTGTTATTATTGCTCGGATCATACTCGTAAAATAAGCTTACTTAATCCACACACATTACTTTTGAAAAACCTCTAGAGCACGTCATTGATATGAAATAACTGAGTGTTGATGGACAGCAAATCAATGTTAAGGCAGAGAGGGGAAGGAAACTTTGAGAGCAACGCTGATATGTTGGTTACCCATTTCCGCCACAATCCCAGCCGCCCCCCTCCCGTCATCCCCCCGGCCGCGATGCCAAAGCGGGCGATGGAGGTCAGCTTCCTACCTGAAGCAAACGATATCCCGTGCGCTGGATGAGTGAACGCAGCGCTGCCTCTTTCTGCATGCCAGTCAGTCCATCCCCGGATTTTTGATTGGTTTCCATTGTGAGTGATTATCAGCAATAAATCAGCGAAATTAACGGTGCTCACTGAAATTAAATCAAAGTTCGACACATGTGAATGACAGAGCGAGAAAAACACGAGACGGTCATGCCCTGGACACACCACCCGCGGGAAACCGGGGTTTCTCACACGTGTCATGGTGTGACCCAGTCACCCGCTTAAAGGCTTCCCAACACTCCATCACCAGGGAAAAAAAATCACAATAATCTGAATTTAATTTTAATTTGAAGATCTGTTTTTGGTATCTGCCCACACTCATGGATGGAACCATAAAAAAATAGAAAGTGGATTGCCCAAAAAATCAGCTATCTCTGTACACGTTAATAAACCTGCAATGTGAGAGAACAGTGTGTTTCAGTCAAGGACTGCTACCTAATTATTAACTGTACCAGACCAAATATGTGGGTCACTACCAAGTCTCTTCTAGAAAGGGTTTTAACACTAGTAACGTATCCCCTCAAGGCAGAATCATTACAACTGGATGCTAAAGACACATTCACACGTTTAAATATAGAAGAAATGGTAATACAGCCCACTTTAAACAGGCCGTTTTTTTTCGTAGGCATGAGTTGTCCTGCTATCCTCACTTTTATTTAACCCTGTGTGCAATGAAGTCGGCCATTTTGGTGACGGATGACAGGACATCCAGCTGTGATGGTATCCGATTGTGATGTTCGCACTGTACTGCACTGGGGAGAGTGTGAACGTAATCGGTCCCGAGCCAAAAACCGGCGGGGGAAGGCAGTGGAACCGCACGTCTCCCCGGATATGGGAGTCTTTTGCTCAATGGCACCCCTCGTAGGGCAGGCCATCATGCTTCATGCTGGCAGTGCAAATATGACCGAAGACACCAGAATTACCCTTCGAGCTCAGGCTGACCGCAGGTCGATGTAAACTGATAGCGACTGGATCTGCCCTGCGGAGCTGCTAGCTGGAGGCCACTGGCCAATGTCATTTGAGGGTCATCTTAAAATCCCTACGTTTAGCCTAGACGGTAGCTGGACCAATGAATTATTCCAGCAGGCGGCGAACCCTGCTTAAAAAACCATTAGCGCAGCCTCGAAATAGGCGCCGCAGTCTTTCAGGTTCTTACCTACTGTATGTGGGAAAAATAAAACAAACACGATGCATTTATGCTACTCAAGTTACATTACCGTTTCAGTCCGAGATGAAGCTACCTGGGCTGGTGAAAAAGAAGCATAATACTTTCTATTTTTGGTGACTGATAAAGAGGGTGTCATTAAAATGGAAAGCTCTCAAGGAGAGAACTGGTGCACAAGTTCCATTAGCTCTGCCGTTGCTTTTCCGAGACAACTTGGTTACCGTTTGCATAAACAAGATAACTAGACAGGCGCTTATCTTCATGCAATCAATGCCTGCTTTTCTAATGTTTGTTAACTGAAGCTAAACACACATGAGGCCGAAGGCCACAGACTAGGCCAGTTTTATCAAAAAACTCCCTGTAACACTTTTCCTGGACAGTGGCACATTTTATTTCGCTTAAGAGTCATTTCACTGCTGCCTACGACCGATCTGCTCTGCTTATATGTCAATGCAAATCAGTCCCCATACTGTAAGTATCCATTTGCCCCAGTTTTAATCTTACTGTTAAAAAAAAACACACATTCTCAGAAAAAGGCCATTTGACTTCCAATATATTTGTCTCCAATGTAATGCCTCAGTAGCTGCCATTTTACACCCTTTCCTGCATTATGTGAAGTAAAATTGTTGAAAAACTCTCGAAACTTTGATTGTCGATGTATCTTGAAAGGAATGACCTATCACAAAAGGTAAAAAATACTCTATGTTAACCATTATACTTCACAAGATCTCACTAATCACCATTTTATTTTGTATCACATCCCCGTAACAAATATAATATCACTACATATATGACCCGCACCAAAGAGTACCACAAAACATACTACTTTCTGAGTTTTAACTCTGTCTAACCATGTCTTTAAGTACTCCATACCGCCAGCTTTAGTTACCGTGTTTGCTTACAGGTGACCGGCAAAGCCCGATGGAAAAAAAAGGAACGACAGCTAAAAGAGGATCCAGGGAATGGAAAGAACGACCGGTCCCCTCGGATGTCGGCTCTAGCGGGAAGGCTTACCTGAGCAATTTTGGAGCTACCCGCTCGGACCACTCACACGTTCATTCTGGGGGAGTCTGGCACCGTGTCGCTGGGGTGATTCTGTAATCACATAATATCAAACTCCAAAGGTGCACTGTCCTGAGGTTGCTTTACAAGCCCAGTAGGTTAAACGTTAACCAGCACTATCTCTGCCCCCACCCTCCCCAATCCCTCCCACCCCCACTACTGCCCTTTAGCTGTGGGGGCCCTTTGTCCAGGAGTAAGACCACAGCGCTTTCAGCCTTGGTGTGGCACGATGTGTCCGTCCACCTGGTTGGAGATGTAACAGCCACGGCCGGCTTTGTGTACGATACTGAATAAACACGCTCGCCGCCATATTTTCCACCGGAACGAGGGATCACGCCTCCGACTGGCAGAGATGGGGCCTCGGCTTCGCATCTCGCTCTCAGTCACTGGCTCATCGCATGACCAAAAACTACATCAGACTGATATAATCAATGAATAGGCTGGAGGGGCTATCTTCGAAACAAAGGCCAGCTTACATTACACACCAACGACGATCATCATTTTGATTGATCAAAGACGATCGGTTCCAAAGCTCATCAAGTCGGCTGAGGTGACGAACCATCTATTTCACCTCCTGTTTTTTTTCTTCCTTCCTCGCTGTGTCCAGCAAAACCAATGATTGACCAGGTAAACAGGCTACTGCAGATGTTGTCGTGTCGCAGTGTTTGCTGTCTGGGACCCTTGTTTGTTTGAGTTAGATACTGCTGGGAATATGGCGTGATCCCAGGGCAGCCGTACCTGCTCCCAGCGCCGCTGCCTGACCGGCTGCCGTCCAGATGTTCGAGGCTTCGGCCTTTTGCCTTGGTAACTCCTGGTGTCACGCCGAGTTGCCTGCGACTTCTTTGGGGAACTGCCTTTCTATAAAACTTCATCTCCTCTCTCTATTTTCACTTTGAAGGGGGCTTTTTCCAGAGAAGCCCTGAGGTGGTAGCTATTTTGGCTACGGGCACCCCTGTCATTTTCTTTATGAGCTGTAGATTATTTATTGCAAATCAACGATCGTTTGCGACATGCATTACATAACATTTACAGGCCCTGTACATGAAGTACAGACGGTTATTAACGCTGAGAGATTTTGCTTTAGATGTATGAGTAGCATAATCCAGATCACAGTTTTAAGTGCAAATGGGCAATTTCTCTAATAAATAGCATATATTTAATCAAGTTTAACCAACATAAAATGTGCATGATGCTAAGAAATCAAACTTTAATTTATAAATTTATGTATTTAATGGAAATATACGCCTGGTGCAGATGGTTGCTTTTTAGTTATCATCTTTGATCTGCTCTTTAGGATTCACTGTGAGCATTCAATGGTCAGTTTCCTCAAAGCACAAACTCCGTAAGTGCACCAAAGACCAGCCATTTAGCATAATTATGTCATAATGATGTAAAACAGGGTAGAGCTGCGCAAGATCTAGCGCCCCCCTGTGGTGAGGCTTTGTAAAGAAAAAAATATGAATAAATAACTGAGTAAAAAGCTTTTTTTTTGCTTTGGGGTTGGGGTTTTAAGCAGTGCCTATACCTCATTAATCTAGTTTTCTGGACTGGTCTTGTAATGCAGAGCTTGATCTTGTGATATTTCAGCAACGTTTCCTACATTATCATGTACTCCCCCTTGAAGGGGTCACCTGAGGTTTGTGCAGACCTGACACAGCGCCCCTTCACAGGACCTGGGGTTGGTGAATTCTGATGATCAATCACAGATGAGGAGGACTTTCCTGGCCTAATTCGCCTTTAACCCTCTCATACCCAGTACAGGCCACGCCGAGCGAGAAGAACACAGAGTCCTGTTTGAAGGTCGGCCCAGTCACTGCCCGCGTGCTTAGCAATAACATAGAGTGTTAGGAAATGCTAAAGACAGTGCATGCCTTTGGGCAGAGCGGGATGAGAGTAAAGCTGATGAAGGGGACGGATCTTGTGGTGAGCACATGCATTGCCAGTTTTCGGGGGGAGTTTTCCAGCCAGGATCTGGAAATGCACTTGAAGCGAGAATGATACGACAGTGCGAGTCATCCTGTGCTGTGTACCCAGGGCCTGTCAGGCCACGGCCCAGAGCTGCCTAAGCCTGTCAGAAGTCCAGCGTCCTTCAATTTTGTTCATTTTTTAATATCGTTACTCTCAGAACTCAACGGAACTGTGAGGACAGCTCGCCGCTCGTTTTGGGCCAACCACTGTGAAGCCAGGGAGCTGGCTTGCAGCTAGTTTATTCTAGGCAGCTACCTTAAACTGTCAAAGAAGTGAAACGATGAAGAAGAAGTCAGAGGTGAACATTTATCTTGGCAGGGAAACAGCAGCGCCATCAACTGTGATGTTTATTTTGTGCAGTCGTGGAATAAAAAATAAACTGAGATGCGGGTGCCCTGCTGTCACATAGTTTAACGTCTTTCTGTCAGCGGTAACTGTACGTGTGCCCTGCCGTCACGTGGCTTAGCGTGTTTCTGTCAGCAGTAACTGTGCGTGTGCCCTGCTGTCACATAGTTTAACGTCTTTCTGTCAGCGGTAACTGTGCGTGTGCCCTGCCGTCACGTGGCTTAGCGTGTTTCTGTCAGCGGTAACTGTGCGTGTGCCCTGCCGTCACGTGGCTTAGCGTGTTTCTGTCAGCGGTAACTGTGCGTGTGCCCTGCCCTCATGTAGCTTAGCATGTTTCTGGCACCAAATGGCCTCAAAGGAGCAGATGAAATGAAAGCAGCGCCAGCTGAAATATCGACAGCCATCCGGTGCCGGTTATGAGGTAGACTGCGATGGCTCTCTGGGTTCCTCTCTTCCTGACCACTGCGTATCCTGTGGGAGCAGAGCTCCATGGTTCTGAGAGGCTGCCAGGAGTGGTTGATCCTATTGATCGTTCCCTCACTTCCCCCCCCCCCGGAAACTTGACTTTTATAACAGATTCATTGAGGTGAATGCACTCTGGACTGCAGACCCCATGGCAAAGGATCGCATTATGAATTGTGACCTCTAGTAATACACCCCCCCCCCGCCCCCCCAGGCTTTCTTGGAGTCTGATCTCGGAGCACTGAGCCTCAAGGGGGTCCTCTTTGTGCCAGATTGCTTTTTGGGTCAGCATGATGTCTTGTGTTTCAGGGTGTGGCTGGGTTCCAGTAGACCACTACTGAAGAGCAGGGTCGCAGTAGGGGCGTGGATACCCTGGCAGATTCAGGGCCGTCAGCACTTTACAGGGGCCACAGTAGGGACATGGATACCCTGGCAGATTCAGGGCCCTCAGCACTTTACAGGGGCCACAGTAGGGACATGGATACCCTGGCAGATTCAGGGCCCTCAGCACTTTACAGGGGCCACAGTAGGGGCATGGATACCCTGGCAGATTCAGGGCACTCAGCACTTTACAGGGCCCCCTGAATGTGTAAAATTGCAAAATTGATGGGGGAGGGCAAGGTGACATTTTGTGAGGGGCCCAAAATTTCTTAGCTGCACCCTGGCTGAAGACTTCCACACCATGTATCCCACCTTATGCCAATTAAAAATTATTTATTTAATCAGCCCCCAACATTCTCCCATTGTGTGCAGAAAAACATCTTTGCTGCATGGTTTTATTCACTTTTAAATACACTTTAACAAAAAAGTAAAATAAAATAAAAACGTACATATATATATATAGTCAAAATCTTGAAAAAAAATAATAGTCTTCTGTAAAATCTGTCAGTCCTGCATTTACAGTCCAAGGAAAATGAAAGTACATCTTACGTTCTTCTAAGAAGCGAAAATGACAGACCCTGAGTTTAGACTGTTCAGCCTGTCATCGTGTTTTCGTCACTGTAGCCATTTTTATAACTCCGTTAATGTGGTTTATGTACTCCGGAGCAAATCTGACAGACATTATGGCCTGTGACCGGAATATTAACATGTAAAAACACATACTTAAAACTTTGGTAGAAAAATGACATGAAGTGGCCACTTGAGAGAGTTTCCAATGAGAGAACGCCTAGTGATTTAGTCTTTCTGTTTTCATCATAAAAGGTCTAATTCGATGTCAAATTACACTGGCAAAAAACATTGAAGAATACAATCTCCAAACAATTTCTGTTGCATCCTTTATGTTAGGCTGTGATTGTTGTAATTATCCATGTCCTGCAGAAATCCCATTCATTTAAAGGCTTGTGGGGGGGGGTGCCAAAACGAAGAGAGCTTTCCAGAATGTTCCCTCTAGCGCTCGCCCGACCACTGACGAAGACGTGCATGACGGGAATGACAACACCGTGGGCTGACCGCCGGGGCAGAGTCAAGACGCTCCGGTGTTAAACAATTCATGACATTGTCACCGGCTGCCCATGGCTATTATTAGCGGAGGACACCTCTCTCCACGGGGACGCTAGAAAAACAGCGGCCGTGCTGCGGAGCCGGGCCGCGCTCGGCGAACCCGATCGCCCCCATGGCCCCTTAGCGAGAGGGACCTTCCAAATAGGTAAGGTTTCCATTCTCTAGAAAAACATGCCGTCTTGGGAAGTAATCGTCACCTAGACGCGGAGAGGGGTTACAAGGAGGTCACTGCGAGGCTAACAAAGACACGACACACTGAAACACTCGGTCAGTAGCTATTTGATTTATCGGAGAATATTCACGTTTTTTCTCATTTACAAATGTCAAGCAATTGTTATGTATTATAATCACAGGCAATTTTAGCCCTATTTTAAGGGGGTTTCAGATACCCGATTTTTTAAAATCCACTTGCTGATTAGTTATTTTTTCGTACAGATTTCATACAAATTCTATCGTCAAATTCCCACCAGCTTGGCTACCCTACTATAGGGACCAAGCACAGGGTCAAATTGTAGAATTACCTTTGATCATATGTCCCCTGCCTTGTGCTCTGTGCTTTTTGTGATAGGCTTCAGCCCCCCCCAAACACTGTCCAGCATCAATGACCAGACGATGGATAGATAATTATTTTTAATTAGAGCCAACGTGGCAAATAAATCGTGATAATATTATTCCTTGTTTTGACACCAACCCAGGTTTATCTTGATGGATGATGTATTTTTCATTTTATAACTATTAATTGTCTCATTAAGATTAGTTTACTTCGCATACCTGCCATACATAATAACAATTTTAAATCATCAATAAAAAATACCTGATGTAATGCTTTTAAACGCAATGAACATTACTTGATATGTTGTTTAGTAGCAGGTAAACATTATGGACTAATATCATTATGTATGGGGGAACCCATAAGAAAGGTTACATCATGAGTATTTGGCAAATGTTTTAAATGTTAAAATTGATACTGAATCCTGTAATAGGCCGCCGGCTGCAGGCCTCCCTTCATCGCGTGCCCCTAGACCAGCAGCTTCGGTATTTACACTCCAGCTGAGCCGTCGCTGTTGCCGCACACGCCAGCGGGAGGCCGGCTTTGGCACCGCCAAGGCGTGACATCGGAAGCTGCCACGGATGAAGCCACCAGCCAGGCAGATGAGCGCTAACGAGCGGTCGTGCTGGGTCAGAGCTGAGACCTGGATCGGCGTCAGGGAGAGAGGGATGTGCCGTGTTCTTTTGGCTGTGAGACGGCGTGATGTGCAGCGCTGCTGGCTCACGGCCCCGCAAGGCAGCCTCCTACCTGAAGATTCACAGGCCTGCCTCGTCCTGTCCCACTGAAGCTAAGTTTTCTCCCATCTGCCTCCAGCCCCGATCTTTTTATCTCCAGGCATGGAAATCCCAGCATGCCATTTGTTTTGGGACCCTGCTAGAGGCACTGATGTCATTTTTATAGGCTTTCAACACCGTCTTGTTCTTGTGAGACATACTGCTCTACCATGTGACCTTATTGGTGATCCTATCCTCTCCTTTTGGACCCAAACATCCAACAGGATGATTTAGGGGTGATTTTTTTTAAGGGGGTGGGAATAAGAAGGGCCGTAATTCATACAGTGGGGGCAGCATTATCATTAGCCAATGATATGTTTTCAACTGGTGAGTGACAGGAAGGGAGCACTCCAGGGGCCAATCAGCTTTCAGCTGGAGCCAGTATCCCTGTGGCCCCGCCCCTCTATATGCCCATGACCAAATGGCCCCATAAATGGACTCCAGTAGCCCCCACCCTACATGCCTCTGGGCCACAATTCATATACAGCTTGAAAGAAACAGACATGCTCATGTTTTGATGGCTCTCAAGTAGCTGACACATGGTCCACCCAGAAGAGTATTATGTCACGCGAGAAGCCGGTTTGCTCTCAATTAAAGCCCAGTGCATTAGGAGATCAAGGGTCCCCATCAGAGAGAATCACTAAATACCTTCCAGTTCTGAATTTCTCTTTGTTTGAAATAACGAGGTTCGCAGCTGCGATAAATAATTTATAACCCGCTTGATGTTAAATGGAGATAAGATTTATGGCCTTTACCGATGAGGCACCGTATCAAATGTCACGTATTGCTAAAAAAGAACAGCGAATGTGCGTAATTAATCCACAGCACATTCTCTGTGAGCTTCAGCTCATGGACAAGCCGGTAATCGCAGGACATGTATCCATCTTACCTCCCTTGATTTGCACTGCAATAAAATCTGCACAAAAACACAGCTAGAGGAACGTGCGCTGTTTCATACAATGTGATATCAAGGTTTGTTTTTCTTTCTCTATTTCAAAAAGCCTTATTCTGCAACAGCTAGACAAGGGAGTTTACTGTCATTGCTACCAGGGTGTATTAAAATCCTTTTTCTAAGTTTATTCCTGTCCCAGTGACTTTAGTCTATCTGCTTCTTTTCTTACTCGCCCCTTAAATGTCTTTTTTTTTTTTGCATTTAATCAGTTTGATCAGTTTGCATTTAATAGGTTTTTCCATCATGCTTAAAAAAATGAAATATAATATTTATTCCTGCAAACAGTTTCTAAAATAATACATACTATACATTTTAATAAATATCTAAATGTATTTATTTAGATAATAAATTATCTTTAAGATTTCTATCTTTTTAAAGTGTGCTGGCAGAGAACGACTGTGCAGGTTTACAGTACCCGTAAAAGCATCCAATCTTAAATTAAAATGGGATATATATATCCTGTCTACTTAGTCTGTCTAATCAGGATTTATACTGGGTCTGCAACAGCCCAGAGACAATGAGGAACGATGATGGAATAAGCTAATTTCTCACAATATCCATCATTAGGCGAATCACAGGGCCAAAAAAACACATTAACACGCCAATTACGTGCTGCAGGGCTCATCAAATCACCAGTTAGCCATTTTACTTTTTTTTAATTTCTGCTTTCATTTTTTGCACCAATTCTAAAAGGTCCTTTGAACACCCCGCAGCCCATTCACACATAAGCCCAATGAAAAACGTCCCTTTTCTGTTTTTTTTTTAAAGCCGGCGAGTTACTTAAAATAGAGGGGAAACCAGCTGATCTTCAAATCGGCTGAAGCATCAAATCGGAGAATATGAGCTTCCGTTCAGAAGAACAGCATAAGAAGAGCAGCCTGTGCTGAGTGTGTCGCTCAACTGGGAAAAGAAAGATGCGGAAAGCCTCTGCCTTATTATAAATAGGCAAAAAAATGATCTTTGACAGTCACAAGAATGAAGCGCAAAATTAGACCTCAAAATAAAAACGCTGAATAATCAGCAGCTCATTCAGGAAATATGTTTACAAATGGCATATTTTTATGCATACAAATGGCATCTTATTTGCGACCTGGGGATTTATAAAATCTTTTAATTATGCCAGTTTAATGCAGAGGATTTTGTGAACAAGCCCGTTGGTGTCTGAAAATGAGGGCGAGGCACCATTAAGTCGTTCAGCAGCACCTGGAAGTGCGTGCGGCACCTGAGCGGCTACTGACCTGCAGTGTTACCTTTTCCGTTTTTTACATTTTAAAATAACAGCTGCAGATGAGACCGAGTCCGTCCTTGGAGAGGATTTCTGCTGGAAGAGCACGAGGAATAAACAGTATTGATCTTGAAAAATGCTGTCTCCACTTGGACACCCTCTTCGGTTTCGACTGGGGGGGGGGGCAAGCGTTACAGGAAGAGGATGACTAATGTCTACCCAGGCTCTCCTGTAAACTGATCCCCCCCATGGAAATTCGGGGGGCAATTGTTTATTCTGATGTGATGTTTGGTAATGCTTGCATTTTGTGAATTACCCGGGCCTCTCTTGGTAACTGAAGATACTGCGGGCGCCAAATACATTCTTTACACAGGACCGGGACGGAGCATGAATGACATTCACATTTGCCCGGCGTGACACAGGTAACGTGCTGAAAAAAGCAGATTACGGAAACAGGGTGATTCCCTTTGCATACAGGCGACAAACAGAGGCAACAAAGAAATGTTATACATTTTCTTTTACTTGGTTTAAAATGGACCTTAAAAAAATACTGAGCTTCTTTTGAGGTTACAAGCGCTACTCTCAACACAGCGTGACCACAGACTGTGTTGCGCAATCAGGCTGGATTTTGCAGATGACGTCCCATTCATGTCCTGAGTTAAACAGCACTGGTCACTGGACTTCATGACCACAAGAATCACTGCCGAACACAAAATCAGATTAATAGCTATGCAAAGAATACCAGAATGGCAACCATCCACAGAGTGAGTCATGCAATTCAGAGTATCATAGTATTAACGGCCTGGCATCCCCAGCCTTGCGCCCTGTGCTTGGTCGGATACGCTCCAGACCCCCCCAGCCCTGAACAAGATAAGCGGTTGGAAGATGGATGGATGGATAATATTAATGGATTAGCATCCGGTCCAGGGTGTGCCCCCGCCTTCTGCCTGGGATATGCTGCCCCCCCCAAAGCCTCTACTGAAAATGTTGTTGGAAGTTGGATGGCAGGATTATGTATAATAATTGATATAATAATATAAAATGTGAGCTGCGTTCCAGAGAAGGTTTTCATGAAAGAGACACATCACCCACCCCCCAGAGAAGGTTTTCATGAAA